ACTTACTGACTACCTACCATTTTCCCGGTTTTACTTCTGACACTATTTTAGCTGTGTGTTTCTGAAGCTCTTTCCTGTATATTTCTTTGTTTTCTCTTTCTAAAACTAAACCAAGGACAGACTGCAAAAAGGAAACTGTACCCTGATAAGAATGTGCTGAGATATGTTATTTAATTTAATCCTCCACCCATCCTGATAGACAAATCATATGGATTTTAGTAATGAGATTTGTTTGGATGTTTATCTACTATAACAAATTACATACATTTATAGAAATTTATAGATGTTTCTAGAACCTCCAGTACTATTTCCTTGCCTTGTTTCATTATTAAAAAATAAATATGATTTCTTATCTTAGCTATTATTTCCCTAGAAACATTGTACTACTAATTATGACAAGTAGTAAATAGTTTTTATGAAAGATAAATAGTCTTAAGCAATGAATTATCAATTACTGCTTAGGGCCTGTAACTAAGCTCTATGCCAAACCATATCAGTGCATTTTAAATTTAAAGGATAATAGTAGAGACAATTAACAATTAAAATATATCAAAATTATTGACTGGTAATAACTTATTTAAAGGTCAATTACTAATTTTCTTTTCTTGGGCAAACCAGGTTGGGTGGCAATTTATAAAACTGATCATGTGAATTAATATAGTAAAAACAGTGAAATTTCATAATAAAATATTAATAATCCTTAAAGAAATGGTGTTTTTAAAATTTGATTAGTATTATAGTCAAAATTCTTTCTGAGGTTTCTGAAAACTAAGCACACAAATAAATATAACCAAATACTGAAATATTATCAGTCAAAATAATTCACAGGGCATCTGTGTAATCTGTGGAAACAGGAGGCAGTTGACATTACAAAGTAGGCAAGTGGACAAATACACATAGAAACACATGCCTTTAGTGTTTTTTCCAAAATGTATTTTTTCTTTTTTTTTTTTTGATACTGGGAATTGAACTCAGTGGCACTCAATCATTGAGTCACAGCCCCAGCCCTATTTTGTATTTTATTTAGAGACAGGGTCTCATTTAGTTGCTCAGCACCTTGTTTTTGCTGAGGCTGGCTTTGAATTCACAATCCTCCTGCCTCAGCCTCCTGAGGTGCTGGGATTATAGGCATGTGCCACAGCACCTGGCCAAAATGTATTTTTTCTTGACCTTAATTAGCAGGCAATAAATGGTCCATAAAATTCTAATTTGTTTAAAACAGAGGATATAACTCATTAAAACCTTTTCAGGCAAAGTTCTACTTCAAGAAAAATAAAGCACCTTTGAATATTCACATACATTTGGAAAATGTATGGTAAATCCCTAACTGCAGCCCTTGGAGCTTAAATTATTACTGTCAGGAACAGATTGAGTTAATCTGAACAAAAGGTAAAGAACTCTAAATTTTAAAAAGTTTGCTTGATATGTGTAATAGTTTGCCTGATATGTGTATGCTATAGGTAAACTTAATAAAATAGTGGAAACTTATAGTTTTAGTAACAAAATAAAGGTATCAGAAAATTTTTATTTTGTTTTATTATTAATAATTGTGGTAATGGGGATTGTACTCAAGTACATCACAGAGCTGGGCTAGAAAAATTTTAAATTAAACATTTTATTTTAATTTAACTTTTAAATAGATTATTCTCATGGTTCAAACCTCAAAACATTTAAATATAAATGGAGTGAAAAGTCTACCTCCTATGCCTCCTATTCATTGAGTATGCATATTTAATAGTAAGTTTGTCCTAGTTTTACATACATATAAGCTAATAAATAATTCTATATCATTTTATGCTGTTTTTCACTTAAGAATATCTTGGAAATCTTAATATCAAAACATAAAGAGCAGGGTATAGGGGTGTACAATGTAATCCCAGCAACTTGGGAGGCTGAAACAGGGAGATCTCAAATTTAAGGCCAGCCTCAGCAAATTTCCAAGTCCCTCAGCAACTTAGTGATACCCTGTCTCAAGATAAAAAACAGAAAGAAATGGGATGTACCTCAGTGCTGATGGGTTCAACCCCCAATACTAAGTGGGGGGTGGAAAGAGAGAGAGAGAGAAAAAAAGTTTATTCTTGTCTCACAGTTTTGGAGATCCTAGTTCCTGATTGGTAGGTCCTGTTGACTTGGGCCTTTGGTGAGGCTGCAGCACATAATGGTAGGAACACATGGCAAAGCAAAACTGCTTATCTTATGGCCAGAAAGCAAAAAAGAGAAAGATAATCAGGGTTTCACAATCTCCTTCAGTGATCCCTCCTCCCCCTGATGACTTACAGGCCTCACACTAGCCCTAAATTCTCAAAGATTCTACCATTTCCATATGGAGCTGTCCTGGGAACCAAGCTTAGATCTTTGGGGTTACTTATCCAAACTGTAGCACTATAGGAATACCTTATCATTTCTTACATATGGAAATGTCTCTTTAGGACAAATCCCTAGAAGTGAAATCGGAGATTCTGAGTATATATGCATTTTTAATTTTGATAGATACTGCCAAATTCCCTTTTCCCTAAAGCCTAGCCAAAGTAGTTATGCCAGAATAAACTAATGCTTTTCCATTAGAAATACACAATAAAAAGTAGGTTACCTATTAAAGAATTAGAAAGAAAGTGGGACAAATTTATCCAGCAACTTGCAGAGCTCATTTTCACTCAAAAATACATTCGAACAGAATTTCTTGAGGATCTATCCTGTGCCAAGAGCTTTTAAGCACTTGGGATACATTCACAAACAAATCAGACTCACATTCCTGCCTGGGTGTGGAACTTACATTTGAGTTCTACATTTTGGAACTCTCTGCTTCTTCCTGAGAAGCCAGTTAAATGTCAAAATCCTGAAAATGATCTATTGAGATCCTGAGCACCGGTTCCAGACATATGCTACAAGTGTTATTTAAAAACTAGAGGCACTGTTGCATATGATTTCGTAACTCTCCATCAGGTCCTTTTAAACAACACATTGGTGAGAGAACTCTTTTTATCTGACTCCATCTGCTGTTGGTAGTGATCAGCATACTGTGGGCATTGTGGTATCGTCTGAGATTAGGTTGTGAAATAGGAAATGGAGTTACAAGCAGAATTGCAAGTGTATGTAAACTGTTCGTTTCTATCTCTTGCTGAAACTAAGGGTGCCCAATTCAGGTTTGGGGAGTAGGCAAGACAAGGTTATCAGCACATTCCTATTAGGGCACAGTTTCCTCTTTGCAGTCCGTCCTTGTTTAGGTTATAGAAAGAGATCACAAGAAGATTCCATGGAAAATAGTTTTAGAAGCAGACAGCAGCGATAATCTATTGTGCTGAACAAGGGCATGGAAAAGGGAACATGTTAGAAACTAAGAAAAGATGATAAATGTAAAGGGAATAGCAAGTGCAAAGATACAGTATAGTCTCAGGGTTATTTTTAAAAATTCTTAATTTAAGCAACTTTCTAAGAGGAGAATATCTTGAAAAGTTAGCACCCATTAGATTTAATTGACTGTTGGCTACAGCTGTCAAAGTGTTGTCAACATCCCAGTTGATTTTTCGCCCCCTGGGGAATACAAGGAATTGAACCCAGGGTCTGGCATGAGCTAGGCAAACACTACCACTGAATTACATCTCCAGTCTCATCTTGGTGGATTTTTTGCATCATTTAAAGGACAGTGGGGCCCGGTGCAGTGGCATATGCCTAACATCCCAGCTACTCCAGAGGCTGAAAGAGGAGAAACAAAAAGTTTGAGGCCAACCTGGGCAAGTTAGCAAAACAAGAGGACTGATGATGTAGATCTGTGGTAGGGTGCCCCTGGCTTTAATCCCCAGTTCTGGGGTGGGGGTGGGTTGGGGTATATATATAAATCGATATATTATAAAATGAAGTACAGCAAAAAGGCAACTCCAGAGAATGGCTCTTGAACCATATCCTGGTTTTTATTTTTTTCTTTCTGTATTATTAAAATTTCATTCTGGTGTCACAATAAACAAGTGGATAAAGAATGAGTGATTTCTGAAGCCCCAATAATTCTCAGTTTCTCTTCCCAGTTATTAAACTCTACAGCTAGACAAAAGAGACTTTTGTCAACATTCTCATTTAGTCAACATTCTCATTTTATAGTTGAAGTCCACACTGTGAAGCAGCAATTAATGGAAGCCAGGTCTCTCTTCTGATTCCCATCCCAGCAGAGCTCTTTTATCATTCCAACAGGATCACCATCAAAAACCTTCAATGCCTATGATTTCCAGGCTCTATGTTACCATGCAAATGTTGCAAACTGGAATGAGTTTGGACAACGATACTGGACCTTAAAGGGATTGCACATGGCTGGGGCCATGGACCCCTTAACGAGCAGTCATACTGCACTGGTGCTGAGCTTGGAGCCTCAGTCCATGGGTCCCAGGGGTCTCCTCAGCCCTGAGCGAACACAGCTGGTCCAGCACTCTGCTCTGGTCGTCTAGGCCAAGGATAGCTGAGCACAGACCTGGTAATGGACTCAAAGTCCCCAGAGTTCCACTTGGTTCCCCTCAGGCAGCGTGTAGCAATTTTTGAATCTACCAGTGGGATTTCCTGGCCTTTGAACAACTGACCTAAGCCTGGCAGTAGATGCCAGGCCGCCAAGGGAGCGGACAGGGTCCAGGCTCCACTCTTCCCCTGGGCTCCATTCTTGCCACCCTACTACTTCATCTACTTCCCAGGAGCCCTTTCCATTCTTGTCCCCGCGAGCGTTTTCTCAACACTTCCCACTTCATGTTTACAAAGTGCTTACGCCCACTTGGCCGCCAGCTTTCTCGCCTGCTCCAGTCCCTCGCCCCTCCCGCAGCCTTCCCGCCCGCCTCCCGCGACTCTGCCCCTCCTCTCCCGGATCCCGAGGCGCCGCCACCCCGCGCCCACCCCAGCCGTCTCAGGAGTCTCGCGCCCGACCGCGCGGCCCATCACGTGAGCCCGCCCCGCCCCGCCCCCGCCATCACGTGAGCGCGCCCGCCCCGCCCCCGCGCCGGCGCGCTTCGACGTGCCCTGGAACTTACCCTCCCTGAGAGACCAGGCTGCAGGGACGCGCCGGCCGCCTCGGCCGAGTGAACCCTCTCCAGGCTCGCCTAGGTGTTCCGCGCCCACCGTGCTGGCTAAGGAGGGGGTCTCCCGCCGCAAGGCCACCGGGCCCTCGGTAAGGAAGCCGGGTGCGGGTGCCCCAGACGGAGGGCAGGTCGGTGAGGCGCTGCACAAAGGCGCTCCTGGGCTCGGGCAGTGCCCGCGGCGGGCGGCGGGACTGGGGGAGGCGTGTGCAGGAGGCGCGGCGGCGCCGAAGGCGGGAGGTGAGGCCGAGCGCGGCGAGAGGAGTCGGGGCTTGGGAAGGGCGTCCCGGGAGGGGAGGCGGTTGCCAGCCGATTGGCCGAGAGGGTCGGGAGGGTTTAAATGGCCCTAAGTTACGGCTCTTTTGCTCCCTAGGTTTTCTGACTTCCTGTGTGCGGGCAGCCCCCGCCGCCCCGCCCCCGGGAGGGAGGGTGTCTCCGTTTGCGTGTGCGTGTATGTGTGTGTGTGTAAGTGTAAATGGCCAGCCTGGAGCTGCCCTCCCTGGAGGGCCTCCCACCGCTCTGTTTGCTGGCTTCCTAACTGCTGTAGGGTAGGTGATTCTCTGCCCACCTGGGGCGCTCACCTGGGTCCTCCCCTGGGAGCGTTGACCTTAACACGGGGCGCGCACTTGTCCGCAGTCTTAAGAGGTGCCCCACCCCTAATCGATAGGCTTTTGCTACCCTCCCGCTCTGCTTGGAGGAATCTCCTCAAAGTCCTTGAATTTAAACAACAACAACAAAACCCTCTTTACAAGGCTGCTGCCCTCTTGCCACCCCAGGGTAGTTGCTGGTCTTCCTAGAATGGGTGTCTTTACGTGTTGTGTCTTAACTTACTGCAGACCCTCTGACAAGAAATGGCCACACGTTCGTCGTTAGAAAAAAAGGCACGGCCTTGGGTTTTAGAAGCGTGTGATGTTTTCCTTTTGCTTGCAGCAGCAGTTTAAAATGCGTTTGCAAAGGCGAAAGCGGGGTATTTAAAGTATACCGTCATTGAAAGTTCTAATGTCATTTCAAGTGAGGTTTATTATGGGTAAAAAAGCTTTCAACACGGATACACGATTGGTTTTGTCTTACTTTATGGTTAATGATGACATGCGGAAGTAGCTTTTATTGACTAGGCACACATTCCTAAAAGGCAGGTCATGTGGAGGAAAGGAATATTGAACTAAGAGTTACTCAGGTTCTTATTTAGATCTGCTACCCAAGTTGTTAAGGTGAGACCTTAGAAGACTCAGAATGTTGCAATAAAAATATTGTTAAAAAGTATTTAGTCCCTGGTACTGCCTCTTTCCTACTTAAAAAGTGGAGAAATGGTGACCTAGAGATGTATTTATTTGTCCATATCCAGTTTTTTAACCTGCTCCCTAAAAGGGTGTATTACAGAAACGGACATCCCTGCTCCTCCTCTCGTCGTCTGAGCACCCAGTCTGGCTGCTGGTGCAATATTTGTCTCTTTGTTTTTAAAATTCCCTTGGAAACTTTTTGGAGCAAGGATCTGAAAGCCCAAAGCAGTACCTAAGAGTAGTCAGAGAAGGCATAACCCTGATCTGTGCCACCTGAAGAGCAAGCCAAGCTAGCTCTATGTTCCGCTGCTCTAGAGGTGTTTCTTTGTTGGGGGGAAATAAGGAAATAAAGCGTTAATATGACAGATTATATGTGTATGTTTATGTATAAGCCCCAGTATCTATTGATAGACTTTTGTTCTATCAATAGAAGCTGAAGATTGCTCATTGATTCTTAATGTTATGCCACCTGTGTAGATTAGTTGTGTTTATATAATCAATACTATATGTATTTTTAGGTTTTAAAATTTACTGTACCACTTGTGATGCAAAGATGAATGTATGTAAGTGCTGTAGAAAAACAGTATTTTATTTGTAGTTAATCATTTGGCTTCTGTTTCATTAATTTGAAAATATTTGCTCAGTGCTTTTTAAAAGTAGGCTGAAGCTTTATAGATTTAAGTACTTTAAGTTATGCAAGTGACATTGCTGAGCATAATAAGGGTCATGATTTCAAAGTGACTAAAAGTGAATAGTGGTAATCTGTCGTCGGTTAAACAGTAGCACTTATGTGAGAAAATGAACATTTTGTGATAAATAGTTGGAGACAAAATTAAGATTTTTATCATACTCTATTTAACAATTTTAGTTATAATTGTGAATATTCACTGTTTTTAAAAGGTATCATGATACCTTTTCATGATATCACATAGCATCATTATACTTCGAATAATTCTTACTTGAGGACTCATTGGGCCACCATCTGTGTCTCTTCTTTTTCTGGGACAAGGTATTGAACCCAGGGGAGCTTAACCACTGAGCCACATCCCCAGCCATTTTTATTTTTGAGATGGGGTCTTGCTAAGTTTTTGAAGGTGGCTTTGAACTTGTGATCCTCCTGTCTCAGCATTCTGAACTGCTGGGATTACAGGTGCACCAGCCATTATTCTGTGCCCTTTTTTGAATTAACTGGTGTAATTGTGCCAGATCCTCATTTAGGGATGGCTTTACCATGATTCAGTCATTTTCATATGGCTTTGATTGACTTAATATCCTGAAGTTTCATTTTGTAGTTGACTTATGTTTGAACAGAACTGCCAAATGCTTGAAGCCTTTATCCCCTGTTGATAATGGGTTTTATTAAGCTTTAATTTATATGGGAATCTCCTTAACTTCTAATATCTTGAAATCATATGGATGCTATTCTTCTGCCCTGACCACATATACAGTGTATCTCATAGAAACATAATGCCAGCCACGATGTAATTTTAAAGTTTCTAGTACTCATATTCTAAAAAGTAAACAAGTAAAAAAAAAAAAAAAGTAAAATCAATTAATAATTTAATTTAACTTAAATAGTATATCTGAAATAGTTTAACATGTAATCAGTATGGAAATTACATGGTTTTTGGATGAAGTATTTGAGATCTCATGTATTTTACACTTATAGTACAACTCAGTTTGCACTATTCAGATTTCAAGTTTTCAATAGCCACTTTGGCTAGTAGCAGTAGTATCAGTTTTGGAGTCTAAAATCTAGACCAATGTAATTCTAGTTGTATTTTCAGATTGGCCCCATTAGCAACCCTTGGGAACTTATTGAATATGTAAATTTCAGGGCTTTGCCTCATACCTGCTGTCTTTAGAATATCTAAGGTTGGGACCCAGTACTCCTAAGTTGAATCAAATCTCTTCAGGAAATTACTATAGAATGTGTCCTGGATGGGATCTTGGAAAAGAAAAAGGACAGAAGGGGAAAACTAAGGAAGTCTAAATAACTATATGGACATCATTAAGTGTTTGTTTCAATTCATTAAATGTGACCAATTTACCACACTAATACTGAAAACTTATAAAATACTATAGTAAGAGTTTTACACATATTTACTATTTTAATTCTCCCTATATATGGCATGTGCTACTAATAAGCTCCATTTTTGCAGATGGAAAAACTGAGATTCAAAGAGATTAAATGACTTGTGTTAGGTCACACAGCTAATAAGAGATAGGGGATGTTCACAGTTTCTTAAGTGATCAGCATTATTTGTGAATATTTTTCTACTCTCACAACTTTTGCTTCCTTGAGTATGCAATTAATATGAATATACTGTGTCATGCTTTATAATTTACATAGTTCTTTTGTCTTTCCATTCTCAGAAGGATCTTGTGAGGTTTATATTATTTCTATCATTTTACCAATAAATAAAGTGTCCAGGGTCTGAGAACTGTTAAATGGCAAAGGGTAGATTTAAATTTCAAGACTCTGATTTTGAGTTCTGTGTTCTTTTTTCTCATACCACAACAATTTAGGATATGAGATTATATTGGTGCCTATGAAAGTTGGCTGAAAATTATCCGTATTTTGCTATATATTATTGAATTTAAGAATTCTAGTTTTATTGAGGTATAATTTTCATACCTTAAAATATACTAACACCAAACAAAAAGAGGCAATGAACAGATACATATGACAAAGGTAGATAAATCTCTAAAGCATTATTCAGAGTGAAACAGTCCTGACAGAGAAGGCTACATATTGTATAATTTGTATTTTCTACTAGTGCAACTTTTGCTTCCTTGAGTAAGCAGTGATTAAAGTGATACTCTTTATCATGTTTTATAATTTACTTTGTACTTTTTTAACATTTCCCTGTGTCCTCACAAGAATCCTTTGAAATTTGTATTGCTATTTTACAGAGGGATGTATCAGTTTGTTCATTCACTGGTTGGTAGGCCTTTGAGTTGTTTTCAGTTTGTGACTACTATGAATATTCATGTAAGGTCTTTGTGTGGACTTAAATTTCCATCTCTTGGGTAAATACCCTGAAGAAGGATTGCTGGGTCATATAGTAAGTGTGTTTAACTTTATTAGAAACTGCCAAATTGTTTTGCAGAATGAAAGTACCATTTTGCATTTCTAACAGCGATGAATGTGAATTCCATTTACTGGTATTCTTACAATTTTTTTTCTATCTAGTATATTTTAAAGCCATTTTGGTAATTGAGTACTGATATTTATTTGGTTGTTTAAATCTGCATTATTTGCCCCTGCTCTCGCCCCCATTAGGGATTGAACCCAGGGGCTACCCTTAAGACAGGATCTCTTTAAGTTGCTTAAACTTGCCATCCTCTTGTCACAGCCTCCTGAGTCACTGGGATTATAGGCATGTGCCTCCGTTATTAGAGTTTTGTTGAGATTTAATTGCTGCATAATAAACTGAACATAGTTAAGTGTACAGTTTGATGAATTTGGTCATTTATGTACTTGTGAAACTGCTGTGATTTAGATATGGTTTGAGTGTGGCCTTCAAGAGTTAATGTGTTGGGAGCTTGATCCTCAGTGTGGCGGTGTTGGAAGGTGATGTGGAACATTTAAGAGTAGGTCCTACAGGGAAATAATTGATATTGAGGGTGATGCCTTCAGAAGAAATTGATGTAATTCTTGTGGAACCTGATTCTTGAGAGAGGTTTGTTATAAAAGAGAAAGTCTGGCCCTTTCTGGGTCCTGCTTTGGCTTCCTGTATTGTGTGAGATCTTTCCTTCTCACATGTGCTTGTGTAGTTGTGCTGCCATCTGCTCTGAGATCCTCACCAAAGCCTAGCCAATGACCATGACCTTGAACCTTCAAACTATGAGCTAAATGAGTGACTTCATAAGAAAGTTATTTTGTTATGGCCTCAGTTATTTTGTTATAGTAATGGAAAACTGGCTAGTACAAAAATTATCACCATCACCATTATCGACATAATTAATCTATTATCCAACCCTCTCATTTCCTTGACCACCTTTTTTTTTTTTGGTGGTGGTGGTACTAAGGATCGAAGTACTAGGTCCTTCCACATGCTAAGCAAGTGCCCAGCCTCTGAATCACATCTTCAGTCCTTTTAACTTTAATGCAGCATTACCCAGTTGTGGTCCTCCTTGCCCCAGCTTCCCTAGGTGCTGGGATTATAGATGTGTGTCACAATCCCTGGCTTAGTGGTAGCTTTTTTTTTTTTTTTTTTAAATATATTTTTTAGTTGTAGATGGACACAATATCTCTATTTATTTTTATGTGGTGTTGAGGATCGAACCTGGGGCCTCACATATGCTTTTTCCCTTTGTTGAAGATTAATTGAACAAGTGCACCAGCCTATTTCTGGATTTTCTATTTTGTTTTGTTTTACTTATGTGTATGTTTTTATGCCAATTTCATATTATCTTGATTACTGTAGCCTTATAATAATTCTTGGTATTAGGTAGCTTTCTAACTTTGTTACTGTTTTTAAAAGTTGTTTTGGTTATCCTAGACTATTTGCTTTTCTCTGTAAATTTTTGGATCACTTTGTCAATTAAAAAAAATTTGATGTTGAATTGCAATGAATTTATAAGTGGATTGTGGGAGAATTGAAAGCAACATTGGGGCTTTTGATCCATGATCACAATAAATCTTTTTATTTATAGATCTTTTAAAATTTCAGTGTTTTACAGTTTTTACTATATAGTTTTT